GTTGAAGTTGCTCCTGGTGTGACCATTTCCATAGAGTCTAATAACGAATACTACGAACCCCTTCCCATTTCAGTTGGCCCACTTCAAGATTTGTACCAAAATATGCCTTTATAAATTAAACGTGACGAAACTATTTCCTTCTAAAACAATTTGTTTTCTCAAAAACGTTTTCGATACCCTCTAGTCGTAAAAAATACATATTTGAAATCGCTTAGACCTATAACTAATAGAACAAATAAACAATCTGCGAATAAATGCGCGAAGTTAACAAAGCAACAAATGAAAGATTACCATTGGGCAACATCACCTTTATTTTTTATTACGGCTGAAATTCTTTGGGTCATAGTGTTAACCAGGTTTTGGCAAAAATTTGGTGTAAAACAATCCCATATTTATTGAAGCTTTTGTCTCAGTTCGGTGATTGTACGAGCAGGATATTGTCGTAAAACCTTTTTCATCTCGTGCCACAAAGTTTCAATAGGTGACAGATCTGGACTGCTAGAAACCCATTTCAAAAGTGGTACACTATTTTCTTGCATCCATTTTATAGCCTCTTTTGAGGTATGACACTCTGCACCATCTTGCTGAAACACAAAATAGTAGGATGTCAAACATTCTTCTATCACTGGTGAAAGCGGTACTTCTGAAATCGCCAAATATTTGTTTGTATCCACATTTTCATCAATAAAATGAAGTTTTCTTACTCCTTTTGATGACATACTGCCCCAGACCATAATTGATGCTGGAAATTTCACTTTTCTCTTCAGACAGTCAACATGGAATGCTTCATTTTTTTTGCGAATAACTCTACTGCGACTGCCACCAACACAAACTTCGAATCGGGCCTCATCACTCCATTGTATTGCACACCATTGTTGAGGTGTCCATTGTCTATGCTCTTTAGCCCATCTAAGCCGATTTTTCTTTTGCAGTGGAGTTAATAGTGGCTTTTCTTTGGCCTATAAACAAGCTGAGCATCTTTAGGGTTTTTAATTCACTTTTTTTTATAAGAAAACTTACCTTACAAGTGCTAAATCCCAGTTTGTGGGCCTCTCTATGAGTTGTGGACCTCGAAATTCTCCTTCCAACAGCGTCACTCCACAGAGCACTTAATTGTAAATAATTGGCACGCCTGTTTTTCACGATTATTCTTCTTAATGCTCTTCGGTCGGCATTTGTGATATTACTTTTTTTCACATATCGTGGCTTAATATTAACTGAACCAGTTACGTTATATCTTCTAACAAAATTTCTCACACTGTACCGCGATAAGTCTAACAAAGTTGCAACTTCTGAGTTTGATTTCCCAGAATTAAAAAATTTAAGTATCAGTAACAAAATTTTCTCACTAATAAGCTTTCCTCTACCCATTTTGAAAACTTTAACTACCCAAAACTATTTTAAACGTATTCTGACAGCTGTGATTGATAAAAATAATTGTCATGGCTTTTATTTTTCACAGCCACCTATGGGCTATAGACTTATTTTGAATTGAAATGAAAATAGGTTGATATGCTGTAATTGCAACATGTGTCATTTTTATGCTGCAAATTTGATTAGGGAGTGATAAAGTTGGTGTTTGCTACTATATATTATCAAAATATTCATTGTAAATATTTTAAACCCATAACACCCTGCTACATTTTTATTATTTTGATACGAAAAAAACTAAGATTTAAATATTTGGGCCAACTGAAGTGGGAAGGGGCTCGCTTTGAGGTATCGGTCTACCATAAATACAGCATAATAGGCACAAATGACTTTACAACGTCTAGCCCTGCGTTATCTATTAATATATTTTCTTTAACGCCTTGTAATGTCAGTCATTCATTTTCTGTCTTCTCCACACGCCTACTGGCGAGGAAGCATTGTGATACCGAAAAATTTCGAAAATCAGTTATGTTGTTTGAACGTTTTATAATCACGAAAAACCATGTCACTTATTTTCGCCTGTCTGTTGCTTGGTCTGTTCTCTAGTCCTTGGCCCGTGTATAGTTTAAAAAGTACCCCTCGGATTTTGATGAAACTTTCAAAATTGATAACTGATATGCCGGAGATGAAAAGTATTTATAGTTTTTTAAAATAGTCCCGAAAAAAGTGCGAAAACAAAAAAAATAGGAATCGCTCAAACCTCAACGCTTCAGAAGATCCTGATCATTTTCGAACAATTTGTTAGGAGCCAACCATGGACACAGCCATTTCGTGCTTTTTTGGCAACTCTCATTGAAAGCATTCCAAATATCCTCTGCCTATGATATAAAGTCTATGAAGCTGTCATATCTCGATAGGGTCTAACTTGTGTTGAACATAATCCTTGATGAACTGACGACGTCGTTGCATGGCTAACGCAGAGTCAACCTACTTGACTCCAAACCAGTTGTAAGACTAGATGTCTATTCATCATTGCTCCATAAATATGACAATCCCATTCCTAAACAGACACTTGAAAGGTCTAAGGCCCGAATCGTCAGTCGTCCCTACAATTGTAGGGCGCCTTTATGGCCTCCTTGATTGTCATAGTTTTCTACTTCTCCGTGTCAGAACACTATTTTGAGGTTATGTCACAAACATCTATTTGCATCAAATTGTGCTTGCTTTTGAGTTATATTATGTTTCATCAGCCTGAAATTTCCTACAATTTAAAAAGAAAACAAATCTTCACAATTTTAGAGCGCTGACGCTGACACGGGACAAGTGTAATCTAGAAATTTTTGAAGGAGAGATAGGAGTATGACAATCAAGGAATCCATAAACGCGCCCTACAATTGTAGGGACGACTGACGATACGGGCCTAAGATAGAGGCAATAAAGGTAACTAAATACCTTTAGTCTTATTGAGTACTTAGGTTATAATAATAAGTTTTTCCTATCTAAATCCTTAGATCATTTAATGTTTATATACTACCTGTGCAAATATATGAGTTGTGGGGATCATAGAGAATTGAACGACAATAAAGAAGATATCGACCTTACACCATGTCGTGCAATGATTTAATAAATCATCCTTCAGATCCAGCTCTAGATAGAGGCAATAAATACCTTTGATCCCATTGTGTACTTAGATTATAATAACAAGTTTGTCCAGTCTAAATCCTTAGATCACTTAATGTTTATATACACCTGTGCAAATATATGAGTTGTGCGGGTCATACAGAATTGAACGACAATAAAGTAGATATCGACCTTACACCATGTCATGCAATGATTTAATAAATCATCCTCCAGATCGAGCTCTATTTTTTATGTTTTTAGACTATTGGTACTAGGATAGCCAAATCATCTACATTTTGACATTTTTTCTTGTACTTGGGCCACCACGCAGACCGGAGGTCTAAATACCTGTGGGTACCGTGGAGTCATCGCAATCAGAATGTCTGAAGGTAAAATCCACTCTCTTGAAGACTTAAATCCATAAACAATCAAGTGGTTTATGAATATTTTGTAACGTTGCTCTACATCACACACTCTTCTGAAGCTCTCCAAATGTTATAACCAATAAAGCTGTTGTAGGTGTTTTTATTTGAAATGTGTTGTTGCTACCTCACAGGTTTATAAATATTTTACTTGTCTGTTGAAAATACAGTCTCTACTTCACACATTCTTTTGAAGCTTTTCAAATTTTATGATTAATAAAGTAGAGTCATATAATCGCTTAAAAAACAACCTTGGGAGAGCTTTTTGCTAGCTGTGTGGTAAGCTACGATATACAAAAACATCTCTGAAAAATGTATAAAATCTTTTAAGATTTTACGAGGTTTAAGAACGTAATAAAACATCATAAATTTGATAGAGAATATTTATGTAATTTTTAAAAATGAGGAAAACAACACGTTAAATGATCAACAATATAAAATATAAACTGTCCAAATAAAAGAGGATGATATGAAGATAAGTTTGTACAATAATATTCAGTTACTATATTTTTAGACAATGTATCCAAAATAGTCTGAGAGATAAGAACGTCGGGCATAACAGCTCCTAGGACAATATTTTATTAATAGATAATAGACATCCAAGCTTTTTTTGGTATTATTGTTTCCAAATTCTATCTGTAGGCGTTTCTGTAAACTACTTGACTTATTATGTAGGATGAAAGAAACATATCAATACATTATATAGTTGTTAAAGATCATGGAAACCTCAATGCTTAGCCAAGGTCCAAAAATGGCATTCCTTTTTAAAAATCGGTTGCTTCTTTAACCACGTGTATCCAGATTTTGATATTTCCATTCAAAGATAAACTACTTATTTGTTTCAATTTGACGTCCCTGACCCACTTTATACTTTAAGGTGATCTCTTTTTGTTGTATCTGTTGTTATGTGAGTAGGAAGCTTTAGTTAGACATTGAGATCTACGCGGTATTAATGTCATGTCATGAACACAATGATGTATTGGTATTACCAAGAAATCAAATTTCCATTACAAGAAGAGATAAAAACATCTCTTGCTGAAGTGAAGAGCTTGTGCTTTTGGATATTCAGAACAACTGCTCTTTACACAGAAATGCTATACACAATTGTCTTTATGGCTATCTCTCAGACTAAGCCTTTTGAAGGACTAAATTTAAATCAAAGTTCAAACGTACATCGGAGAAAACATCGAAAGTTTACGGCGGCAGGCGCAATCGAGCTCAAAGTAACCGAAACCGTAAAGTAGGATGATGTATGGGGACAAGTGCACAATTTGTAAATGAGGTTGCGATATTGACCCGGCACCAACGCAGCATATCGCACACTACACAGCAACGCAACACCCTGAGAAGGACGTAGAATTTTTGGGCGAACTTTTATGATCTCTACTCGATTTTTCGTTTCTTGTAAGATCCTCAAAATGGATCAAGAAGTTGTCGGCCGATAACCCAGCGCAAATTATTTTATTTCTCCGGACAAGATATTTTTAAAATTTTTCAGGTCATTCTAAGCAAAACAGATTTTGAATAAATTTTCTCTAATGTTAACCGTTTCAGGGTTATGAAAAACCCAAAAATCGCAATTTTTAATACTTGAAAACTCGTGTAAGAATTAATGTCAAAAAGTCATCAATTATTGAATATTTTAATTAGCGCAACACTTTCTACATCAAAAAAACGTTAGGCGCTAGATCGGGTGATCGAGGAGGCCACACTGGAAAAAATGCGTGAAATAAAAATACATTGTTGAAGGTTTAAAATACCTTTGTTCTAAAATATTTGGATGTAAAAATTTCATAGATGCACCCTGATTCTTTCACTCAGGAATGCGTGGGTTGAGCATTTTCTAATAAAACTTATGTGAAGTTTCGTGGGAGCTTCTCATACTATCGAGAGTTACGCTACTGTATTACATGAGATATGCTATGGCATAGCATTCTGCATTATTGATGTGGACGCGCTTTGCCAAAACTGAGCGGCCGACATGCCAAAAACGATTCTCGTGAATTATGAAAGCAGTCAAACAATTTAACAGCGATTAATGTTTCCGAGTTTTCGGGCGAAGATGGAATTGGCTTGAGAAGTCGCTAGGCGGGCCAGATTTGTTGCTGGTTCTACTTTGATCGTTCTATCCTTGTTGTATATTTCAATGAAAGATTCGTTCAGAGATAAGTTCCAATTCCAACAGTGCTAAAGGGTAATCCCCTCTAAACATACATCCGTAGTTTGATCACAACTTAGTTATTTTCAAAATATAAGAATGCATATGGCATACAAGGGCTCAGTGGAGACAGGGGCACATTTAAAAAAATGTAGTATTTTTATGGAAAAGCTCGTATTATCATAGTAGTAGTGACGGTGGTGGTGGTGGTGGGGGCGAAGAATGACAACCCGACCTCCACTACAAATTTTTATTCATTAATTTGTCAAACCTTCCTGATCCCCCAATAAAGGTCATTCCGTTGAGTAAGCAACTTGACTCTATGGCTCCGAAAATATCAGGCATAAGACTGCAATATACAAGGCAATAACCTGGGAAACGAAACGCTGTCTTTTCCCCGGGTATATGGGACCCTTAAAAGTGATAAGTGACTGTACTGTCTACAGAGGCCTAAGAGAACCCCCACCAAAAGATTTGGCGATTCTCTATCTCCGTCCATTAGCCAGCATGACCTATTGGCCTGTCTGCAATCATCTGACCGTCTTACCAGGTCCATATACACCTATTTATTCAGATCTGACACCAGTGTATGTTCCGCCTAGGCTCGGGACCAATGCAGGTGCTTCTATCCTCGAGCCTAGTTAGGCAATCGTACTACCATTATAACTCATTTGTTTTCTGAGATATGAGCAAGAAGCCTGGACGATTTTTTTGAATGTTCAAGAGAAAAACGAAAGGGCTTTTGGGCAACGTATTTAAAACTGAAAAAACCAAATAAATCATCGTCGGATTGAAGCGTTCTCCCATACAATGTGTTTTCTCTGATAAGCCTTCACCTTTTACATGCCAAGTAAATTACTTGTTTATATATATTGAAAAATAAACTAGTCATGATAGAACTACGGATGTACGTATGGATACATCTGTCACGGAAGCTTAATTGTTTTCAAAGATTGCAACAGACTAATCCCATCTCACGAATATAGACACACTTTTGAAGAAATTCCTGTAATATTAAATCACTTGATCACTAAATAAAATAGAGAGAGGTAAGGAGGAACTTTCCAATCATTAATTATATTAACAACACAGATGTAATTAGTGATAGCATTCAGTGATTTGTCAGAAGCTCTTCTCATAAGACGATAACGTTTCATTAGTGTTAATATACTTTGTACAATAAGGCCCATTAATGAAAGAAATACATCGTTTACAACTGCTGGTACATAGATTTCATCATTCAATCTATAGCTGTATTTTGGTTCTGGCTACCGATGAGCTGATTGCGCTTATAAGTCTATCATTTTTTAACTGTAATGTAATCGAGAGAGCATACAAGATAACTTGAAAAAATACGTGTCTCCATGAAAATGTCAATATATATAATTAGTTTAACATTTTAACTGAGATCTGTACATAAGTGTACACTATGAGTGTAGACGGTCCACTCCTTACTGATTCGATCAGTGCTATATATAATTTACAATAAATTATGTACATAGCGGAAACAAAGTGCCAGTAAATGCGCCGCACACCCACTCCTACATAACGGGACAATATTCGAATCTCGATGTCTCAATACAAATCCGTGAACAGCTCTGAAAATTACTGATATGAGCCCACGGATATTACAAAAAATTCAATTGTACATACTATAGTCAAGCATCAAGATGGGGGAGAATACCATAAGTCACCGTACGTCACAGTTAACGTGGTGTACGCTGATCTTCTCCTACTAAGCCATCCCGCGATGGTAGTCGACGTACAGTACGTTACGCTATACTTTTCGATTTTGGTATTCGATTATACGGTAAAGGAAGAACAGCAGAACACGCCGCACGCCTATGCTAACGCGGCATCTCTTTGAACATGGCAGGATACCTGCGCGCCGACTGTGTTAGCATAGGCGTGCGATGCATTTTTCTGTTTTCTTCTTGCACGATATCCGAGTATATAACATAATCTTGTTTTCCTGGTATGATATAACAATACTATCATCACGGTACTTTGGAGTGGGCACGCGGCACATTTTTAGTATTAAAAATAATATCACACTTCACGTCCACACAAAAATACACCACTGCTGATATACACATTGCTCGAGACAGTCTACACGGTAATCTTGTGAGACTAGGTACAGTCTATATCTTAGTAACACAGCTTCTTCTTAGTTTTTGGCTTGGTGGTGGGAGAACCCTTAAGGGTGCATCCCAGGCGTCGTGCCTAGCCGAGGCCCGTACAGCGAATAAGGCGATAAGTAAGGTGAGAGCCCTGGATGCCCCAGAGGGAACCCAGATAACGAAGAGGAACCCAAAGACGGATGAAGTAAGGACGGTTTGCTATACGGATGGTACCTAGCCGTCGCTAGAGGGCTTAGCGGCGGTGTGGGGTACGTCCTATGAAGCAACGGGTGCGTTGGGGGCAATGCAGATTGGCCCAGCATCGACAACGCTGAACTGGCTTCTGACACTGTCCCGCTAGTATGAGTCCTTAGATGAGTAAGAAGTTCCTCCGAACTGGAAAACCGCTTTCCACAATACGCTGCATCACCAGATATCCAATTGCACACATAAGGAAGGTGTGAGGCCGCTGCTAGGGCTGCCAATTGCGCATGCGCGTACGCGGCAGCAGCTGGACTGTGACTCATGTAGCTCGCCTGGGTAGTTTTCGCGTGGTCACACTGTGTACATCCCGCTGGACACTTCACTGTATTCAGATGAGAGCTCAAACTGCAACCCGTGCAATATGGATCACGACACACGGCTCCTAACGAGTCCTGCTTCATCCTGCCGTAACTAAGGTAAGGTGGGAGTCCTCCAGCCTTCAGTGCATGGTGCTGACTCATCAGTCCGCTAGCCATCAGATCCATAGATAGAGGAAAGGCCGGTGTCGGATATGCACCAAGGAATGGAGACGTGGTAGGTGGTACACCTGGTTTGAATGTTCCTAGAGGCAGATCTTTGATAGCAGGATCTGAAGATGACGTCAAAATGTTCGGGGTGAAGGCTGTCTTAGAAGCAGACGATGAGGGCGTGTGCGGTGTGGTTCTCTCATTAGCCTTTTCGGGTGAACTAGTCCTTTCGGAAGTAGCTTCAGAAGACGATGGGGTCTTCCGTTCCATATTAGTAGCTGGAGACGCTCTTGGAGATGAACTACTGTGGGTGCTAGAACATCTACCATTCGACATGGGCTTAGAGTTGACCGGTGTTCTAGCGCTAGCTGTTCCGTTCGAAGCTGAGCTAGCTGATCTTTCTTCCGGTGTCTTGGACTTCTCCCTTGACGAATGGTTTTCCAACTTGAAGCTCGACTTGTGCGAAGTGTCATTCTTCTCTTTCGACCCTTCTACTTTGTTGGACTTACTAGACTTTTCAGAGCTTTGAAGCAATTTGGCATTCGGCGCGTCAGCGCCTATCTGACTGCACGTCTGTGCCAGTAACGCCAATGGACTCTTCTTGGCGTCCAGCTGAAACAAAAGAAAGACGGATTAGCATACAATAGCCGAGTTATATAACGGTGTCGCGACAGTACGAGGTGTGAACGCAAAATTGAAACCTTGCAAGTTACTTGAAGCGGTAAGCTGACAGGAAAGAATAAATGGATTTGGTGGAAACAGGATAGCGATTTGGCGACTCATATTTAGGCTAAGATTAATCATGACTTTGTTTAGATTAGAACGGGATAATGTACGACCATTTTTGTACAATATAAAGTCGGCTCAGAGAATTGAAAAACTTGATCATGCAAAAATAACAAAGATAATGCGAATAAAGTTAATATAGGCTTGTCTGTAACTCAATAATGGTAAGTAGCAATGCCTGTTAAGTAATTCGTGCCACTACAATGACTCCAAGTTAATCTAATTGGAACCGTAAAAATATATAGTGATACCGCTTTCATCGCAGACGACATGCACAGCTGATTCATGCTTTCTGGCAGTCACCAGCATGGTGTAGGTTGTTCTCAGGTAGGTCGAAAGCAGAGCAAAGTAACCTCTATCTGAGGCATAAGGTATATCCAAGTACAATCGCGTAAGTACCATCTAAGTAAGGTATCTCAGTTAGCATCGAAAGCCGAATCGTCACTGTGATCGCTATATGCCATCGATCCTGGTAGATGACACTCTGCTCGCCATTGAAAACTGATTCGGACGTGTTCCAATGTCTACGAGATATAGAAATGAGAGAAGAGGGCAACACGTATGTAAGAAGAAGTTAGAAATAGTGCGCCCACAAGTAATCATCACGTTGTCTGTCAAGGGCAGCGAGGACGAACACGGAACACCCTTTCTGACATACGTCTCGCACGCTACTCTCTCGCACACATTGAAACTCCGCAGACCTCAGCCGTAAATGACTCGTACGGTATGTTTATAGCTACCTGTTGTAAGAACAATACCGGAAACTATATTGGGAAGCAAGGCACTAACAATTTTGCTAAACACAAAAACAAGGTGACAGTAACTGGCACGCACCAAGCCCTCAGTGCTCAGCGTGATAGAGAAGGTAGCAATCTAACATTTTATCCCGAATCACAGGTGTAATGTCTGATTGAACTGGTTAGCTGTCGGAAGCATTAACGATTTTAAGATACCGCTATACGCTATCCATCATGTGTGGCTTAAATATAAAAATGATAACTGGTTTAATTGATTTTTAAGTAAAATGACATGACGATACTAATTGAGTCTAATTCTCTGATACGAATCGCTAATCGATCCGAAATACTGTTAGTCCTGAATACGATTTTGAGAAGCTTCACGGGAGGAAATGTTTCCACTTGATGCCTTGGGTTTTATCATTTTTTTTTTGATAAGCTAAGATGGATTATAATTGTAGTATATTGTTTTTTGTTGACTCAAGTCAATAAGAAACGTTATTAGACAAATTGTAGATGATGGATGTTCGTACAGCAGTCGCCATCCTGTCCGGTACATAGACGGTATTCACACGGCCGGATACCAGACACAGTCCACTGTTATATTTGAAAGTAATTTGACAAATTTGGTGGTAGTGTTAAAATCAACATCATACATAGCTTATCAATTGAGATATCAACAATATCACGATCGGATAGACACTATTCCGTCGGTAAATAGTCTAGTCAAAGGGTTTATGCAGGTCTCAGGGTGATCCATGGATGGATCTCGTTTGGGTTGTTAGCTATGCATGGTTACAGGCTACATTTTTGTGTTCATGAAACTGGTAACATACGTGTAAGTTATGTAGCACTTCAACCTGTACGCACGTGTCCTATCGTTTCCGAGATCTAGATGTTGTTCGAACAGATTAACTAGGTTTCAAGGGATATACAATCCCTGTGGGTGATGGCAGAGAATAACTCCCGTTTCCAACAGAAGCGAGAGTGTGGGTTCAAAACTTCAATTAAGTGAAGACGAGAAATACTAATACTTCACATATCACACACAGGCTTTAATAGCGGCTTTGTTGCAAAGTCTTCAGTTTGGGTGTGCTTTGAGTCAGAAGCTCGATTTAGGGTTTTCAAAATGACGCCAGAGATTACTCCACTGAATGTAAAACTGTTCGCGAGAGAACCGTGACAAAAGTTTCAATTAGCAAATGAACTTAGGAACAGATATTCCGATACTCTTAAGTTATTCTTTTTGTTGAGGCATAGTGGTTTACTTTTCCCTTTTGTTCAAAACACAATGATCATTTCTTTTTGCTTATAATGACAAGGGGTCGACGCTACATCAACGTCGTGTGAAAAAGCTGTCACGATTGTAATAACGACAAGAAATTTTGGAATCAATGCCAAATGCTACTTTCAGTATGTCTACAACTTTGCGAGGAACGTTAGAGCAACGGTATTGCTATAATTCAGGATGTAATAAAATTTGTATTGCTTTGTATTCACAAATACAACTTTTTTGTTATTTACCCGTACGAATCAATTTCAGTTTCGAAATACACATTAACTCCCGTTTTCCACCATTCTAATAGAAACAAGCAATAAAACTCCAACTACAATCGATCGCCCTGAATTATGAACATACCGCGTCCCGTGAAACATGTAAATACTTTCAACGGCACGTCGGAATCACCCGGAATATTTTACACTCACCGTGGTCGGAAGCGGTGTCAGATATTCCGGTCTAAGGTACTGATTCGGAGAGGTCAACATCGCGCACAGCTCGTAATCCCATTCACTGAACACAACACACAATAGAAAGTATTATCCAAGATTGGCACTGAACAAACAATTGAAAATCGACGCGCGTTACACAATGGAGCAACGCTTGCTGCGACGTGTGATACTCACGGAAGGCATGCTTGAACTGACTGTTCGCTGTCGCTCGCGCTCAGTTGGCCATGCGACAGGCGCTCTCGCGGCGCGTGACGTCACACATGGTTCATCCCCACTACCATCCGGTTGCGTTGCTCGACACCCCGATGATCCAGTCGTATTATCTTTTCGGGGCGATCCTCATATTTTTGATGAGTGTCACTGGGTAAAGAAAGGGTGGCTCTGAAATTATAACTTTGAAGATTCACTTTTGAAAATTTGAGAAATTCGTCGCGCAAATTTTTTTGCGTGCAGTTCAAATTTTAACTGGTAGGATATTTCTTTAGTTGGACTGTTTTTTGTTGCAGTCACGACCACTCTGCTTCAGGCTTCTGGCTCGCTTGTTGGAGCGCTCAAGTGACGGGTTCAGAGTTTTGTGCGCCCTTAGGCAAATGATCAAATATGCGCCCTCCCCCACACAAAAAAGAACTTGTAAGCAAAATATTCTCTATGGAAACGAATATACGAGTAGATATACTATATTCATACAAAACCAAAAGTAAAATGTTTTATAGGAATCGCGGCATGCACATTAGGGTGGGTCACTTTTATATGTGAAAAAAAAATGTTCCTTTTTTTCATAAGCTCAGTGACAAAAAGGTGCTAAATCATGAGTGTGAACATGTTATGAAGTTTGATTGCAATCAGAATTAATCTTCTGCCTCCGGAATCATGTGGAAATTGTCAAAGATGGGGTTAAAGGAGGTATAACTGCGTGGCATACAAAGTCACACTAATGAATATAATTTACAAATAAATGTCTTGAATGAATAGTAAGTAAACGTTTATTGAACAGAAAATAATGTTTACAACAAAAATAATAATGAATAATCATTGAGCGAGGGGTTTATTTTGTAGAGAAATCCTTTTTGCTATCAAATTTTGGCATTGCTTTTCTCGAGTCCATCTGGGCTTTGATGAATCCCTCTCTCATTAGCTTTGACTGCTCTTTCTACTGCTTGTGTGTGACAAGGAAGGCGTAAGAAATCCAAGTCTCTTTCTCTTTTCTGTTCAATAAATAATCGGAGATATTTTTCGGTTACGGATTTCAATAATGGTGGCTCAGAGATATCTTCTTGCCAATTCAAAAGATCATAATACGTTGATGCATTGAAGTTAATCTGTGGTAACTTAAAAATGCGCAAATCTTTCGTTGTTACTGATCTAGCTTTCAAAATGCGTCGTGCAGCTAATTCACGAATGTGCGGCTGAGAGTCTGTTAACATTGCGAGCAATACGTTTTCCGGATGTGCGAAATAGCTGTTTCTTTGAATTACTGGATCGACGATAGATTTCAAATTTGCTGGTAAATATCTGGATAACTCGATGAGTTTGAAAAAGTGTCGCGATCCATCTTTACAGCTAGAATGAGATTTCATAGAAAACCATATCGGAGCATAAACCTTGATAACATACGTTGCAAGAATAGTTAGACTTTCAGGAGGAGTCTCTACAGAAACATACAGACGGAGGATCCTGTTCGCACGAGTCAGCCACCTCGCATGTGACATTTTACCTGGTGATTTATTAGCCAAATCGCTAGGAAATACACCGGTTGAGATTGCTTCAACCATTCTGTACAAGTATTTTTGGTCAGTACTGATATCTTTAGCAGAAAGCTCCGGTAAGCTCGTTGGAATAGGCTTAAACTTGCTTATAGGTCTTTTTTCGCAGTTCTCGAGATCTTTGCCAATCGTTCCTGAAAATGTTCGTGGTCCAGAGGTACTACCATCAATATATTGGAACAGATGTCTAAATGGTAGTTCATTCATATGGAATAAACAAATAATCCATTGTAAGGGTCTACCTAACCGTTTCTCTAGCAGTCGTATAATACCGCCATATATGCCAACATTCACATTAGTTCCATCACATCCAATTGCAGTTAAATCATCGACGGATATATCAGCATTCAAGAAAAAGTCAAATATTTCATTTGCTATACACTTTGCAGTGCCTGAAGCAGGTGTAATATAGCCTAAAAACTCCGAATAAGGTTCTTTTATCAAAGAAATGTGCTCTTCAACTATGCGTTTTCTATAGTTTTTTCCTTCTATTTCAGACATCATTAGAGTCTGATCTTTTCTTCCGTCAAAATACAATGCGTGTATTTGTGAAACAGTTTGCTGTGAAACTATATTTTCTCTGGCCTTTTTTCGTTCTCGGCGTAGTTTATTTTTATCTATTACTTGAGAACCCGACGCATGTAGAACAACTGATGCGATAGCTGCTCCTGCCCTATCCGACACTCCGAATCTATCGCATGTTTTTGATAGCAAAGTATAATCAAGTCTAGTGTCACTCTTAGATTGACCACTTGAAGTCCTCAACTTGATTTGTGTTGGTTCTTCAGCATCGGACTGAACACTTTCGGATTCAGAAGTGCTACTCAGCTTTTCCGTACATGTTTCGGTTTTTTTCAGTCGTTTGCTCTTAGAATTTTCTCGTATTGACTTCCTTTTCAGTGTTTTTGTAATTTTTGTTGTTGTGACAACATCTAAGGCACCTATCACCATTTGCCTAGCGGTTCGTTGATCAGTTATAAAGCCACGTTCTCTTGCAGGTATTTTCTTGTTTTTCGGGCAAGCACATTTGAGAAACTCTTGACACTTGCAAGCCGAAATATCAAACAAGGCTTTACTCCCAAGACGAAACCCTTCCAACGTGTTTTTAGGTATTCTTGGATTAGATTTGAGGAGATTTTTGCATTTTAAGTGATACGTTTGTAACATTACCTTCATTCGTTTGGGTTCAACTGTAGGGATAGAGGATTTCGCCCATATTTCTCAGTCTTGCAACTACAATGGCCTCTATTTCTTTATATGTTGGCTCTTTATTTGTTTCTCTCTCGTATTTCAACCTGTGTCGGGTCCACTCATAAAATCGCATTGCATCCCCATAGGTTGGCAATACGTTGTCTTTCAAGTCATTTAAATCACCAAATATCGGACACTTCCAACTATTTCGAGTACGTTCCATTTTTCTGACAGCGAAACTTACACGTCCGCACTTTCTAACGCAAGATACTGATTGCGATGAACTGTGCGCGACTTGTCTTACCCGTGTGTCTTACCTAACACCCCCACTCTTACCCCTCCCTCTCCCTGGCTACTTGAACTCAACCAAACAGTAGCTAACACTAACGCTTAGGCAACCAAAGTAACAGGAACCATAATCGAAGATGCATAAAGAATTAGTAAAGTGACGCCCGAGGAGACGCTAGAAGTTTACGTACACACAATGCTTTAGTACAATCCGGAGGCAATAAAACTCAGAATTATGTAATAAAATTTTACATATGAACTAACGGCACCATTTGGCACCTTTTTATTACTGAGCCTTTTTCAAAACCGAAAAAAAAATTTTTTGACCCACCCTAATGCACATGCTTCGTTAAAAATCAGTAGATTTAAATCTGTCTACTCTTAAAAAATTAAAAAGCGATTGGCGCTTTTGGAGAAAGGTCAAACGACACTCAATCAAATGTATCCTTTTATTTTGTAGTGTATAAAAGTAGCCTCAACGTTGTTTTGCCTTATTATTGAGATAATTGTAGTTGGCTTTGTAATTTCACTAAGTACATATCATATTGCTGTTAGTGTCTAATCGTTTATACCTTTTCGAACCTAGAAGCTATCGATGCAGCAGGAAATTCAATTCCTGTCATGCCTATTTTCAAGTTCTTCCACAATTAATAATTATTTGTTTAAGATAAAAAGCCTTATTAGTTGAGGATTTTGCGCTCTTCATGACATTGCTCCCTGTGGCTGCTGTTTCACGTGATTACCAATGAAGCCGACTCTGTTCCTGACCATCTTGAGATCAAAGTCACTATGAATAGAAGCGCTATGAATATGTCATCATATATTAATATAATATATTAATTCACTATATTCCGTAACACATTATTCTAAAATATACAAATGGATTATGCTTTCTCTTATATTGACACAACCTAGGTGTTCCTTCTTAGGCTCAACCTAACGTATCTATTTATTATACTAATCTCTTTTACCTCCTTTCAGCCTGGTTCAGCGTCAACGAACAAGCTGAGAGTATAAGTTCTTTTATTCTATCACCATTTTTACGGTCCAAGGTCTAATTTATTACCTTTACACTAATTTGTAACACTTGTAATAATTCATGACAATTTATACACTGGACTACGGCATTGCGCGTTGTTTGACTGTCTTGATTGTGACTAGCTACTTCCACCACCTGGTCGGATATTTATCCACCTATCGACGCGTCGAGAAATATTCTAGCGTTTTCCAGGCAGGGATATGAACTTCCATGGAAGTAGTTTAGATGGCAGCAGGTATCTCCAGACGGCTCTTGACTATTCTTGAATATCGGCCTAACTATTTTAGACAGCCCGCAAGTGCTCACACACGGTCGCATTGTTGGTCGTTTTCACCCCTTAAGGTCGAAGCTATACGAGGACACTACATTATGTTACATAACTGGTGTATCTCCAAGGAACTATAATTCTGCTCAAGAATACGATCGAACTGTGTCCCATGACAATAGCTTGTTATTATTCCAGATGCAAAATTCAATACTTTCGAAATAAAAGCATGAGACAGTGAGGCCAATACTGAAATTTTCAATTCTTTGTTGTCTAGGTAAAATATTAAACCCAACTTTAGTGACCCTGAATGTTTAACATCTCTTGATACACCATCTTCTCTAGGAGCTTTTCAACCTATTGCAGCTCCAGATTGAAGTTGACTTTTCTTTTCCAATTCCCTTTTTATTCTTTGTAAAGTTACGTTTGAGAGGCAGTATCCCTCATTTCGAAATAATTATAAGTTTTTGTTTTTCATCAGGTTTCTTCATCATCCCACGACTCTTAATGTATTTTTATTTGTTGCTCTACCGGTCTAAGGAACGTCAAGTTCATGTATACGTCTGTCGAGCTACATTCCAGATGACTTCAATCTTTCCCTTAGGCGAATGTCAGACGATCAGTATTTAGTGTGATTCGTCGGTATTTACCATGA